CACCCGCCGAGGCCGGGCAGGGGCAGGGATCCCGGGCCGGGGGCGAGGGGGCGGCGGCCGGAGTCTCTGGCCGTCCGCTGGCCCGCGCGTCTTGCCGCCGGCCGAGCGAGAGCCGCAGCCCGGGGCTGCGCACGCTGAGAGGTGCGAGACCCGCGGTGCGGTGTCCGCACTCGGGAGACGGGCTGCTCGGCAACGAAATTGTTGCTCTGAAACTCGGGGAGGGTTGGAAAAGCACGGGAGAGAACTGTAGGAAGAGGCTGGGCGGGCATGGGAGCTGTAAGTCGTGGTGATTCCGAAAAGGCTAATGTCAGTGCATTTATAAATGACAAAGGTCGAACTTCTTGGTTTTCCAGCCGACAGTTTTGAAGCCTGCCTCCTGAAACTCGGGGGGTCTTCATCAGGCCCTCGGGAGAAAAAACATCAGTGGGTAGCAGACAGACGTTTATTCCAGCAGCGCTCTGCTTTCGAAACCTCAAATGAAGTCGGGTCACGTGGGCGGCGCGCACTTTCCCTCCTCTTCTGCGCCCGAAACCTACCTGGAAAATCCCCGAAGCTCGCAGTCGTCTGTCAAATTCTGCAAACCCAGCGTCGCTTCTTGGGAGCAGGGGAGCCGCCTCCCCCGCCTTCTCCCCAACCCCCGTAACAGAATTCTTGTACTTGGTAACTTCAAGCAAACACGTGTCCACTGTCGGTCAGGAAAAGTTAGAGAAAAAAAGCCCATTCGCCTTGTTTATCTCCCTCTCCCCAAGGTGCACTGAAAACCTTCAAGGTTGTCTAATTTAAGAGGCCGTTTTCGGGACCCTGAAAAGGTAAAGTTTAGTAGGCAGGCTGTTTGCGTTTTGGAAGAGAAAAAGTGGCTGAAATCCATTTTATCCATTTTCAAATTCCGAGAAAAGTTTGTAAATTGAGCAATTTGTTGTAAAAATATTGAATGGAGCATTTGCATAGGTCTTCGGAAATTGTAGCAGCTACATAATGGGAGTGGGGGGGTGACAGACAGGAAAGGGATAGAAAAATGATCTACACATTAGCCAGTCGTATAAGGAGTATGTATGATCGTATTTAACTGTCTCATTGCCAAGAAGCATCACCCAACTTCAAACTAAAATATAATGAAATTGCCACCATTTATAAATTGATGTAAAATTACATTATAGTACTTATACTATGATGTTTGTTATGCAGCCAATAAAAATCACATTTTGTGTAATATTTCTATGAATATGCTTAAGCAACAAAAATGAAACAGTATTTTTTGGATGTGACACTTTAACAGTGGGCAGTAACAGTGGAATTACATATGATTTTTTATGTTTTTGTATACTTTGATAAGTTTCTAAATTAAGCTTATAGAATTTTAATAAGCAGAAAAAATTAATTTTAAAAATAAGATTGTAATGTGAAAATGGTATAGAATAATAAAAGTACAAAAGACACAAAATCAAATATACATTATCAATGTCACTCCCAAAAATGTAACGAAAGAAGACTGAAAGGAACAAAAACATCAGCATTGGAAATCTTTGAGTGGTAAAATTTGAGGTAAATATTTGCATATTCAGATCTTTTCCTCCTTTTATATAGTAAGCATATTTATCACAGGTTAGAAAATGAATATCCAATTCTAAGTTTTCATAAACCTGAAAAAGCTTTGTTTCAGATATTTGAGAGTTACAAATGTTTGCTGACCAGGTATAAGTTAAAAAAAAAGTTGTTATGAGTAAACGAAGTGTTATTTATACTCCAGTTTAAAGTAGTCATTACTAGACAATCTTCAGAATAGCTTGCTAACAGAATAAGGATAGACAATCTTAGAGAAATTAGAGACAAGACTGAAACATGTATATAGGTAAGAAAAAATATTAAACACTGAATCATAGAATTTTAAGATGAAAACAAACCATGGAAGTTATGTAGTAAACTTTATTTTTCATATGAGAAAACTAAGACCCAGACAGAATAAGATGTGCCCAAGGTCAGTCAGTAACAGAGCTGGGTCCAGGACCTGAATTACTCCCTACTATAATGTAATAGTAATACAAGTATCTGACATGTATTGAGTAGTTAACGAATTTTAAGCTCAAGTATTAACTCATTTGATCCTATCGACAATCCAATGAGGTTTTGCTGCTGTCCTTCCATTCCATGGGTAGGGAAATGAAGCAAAAAGAGTAACTTACAAAGGTTACAGCTGGTAGGCAGCGGAAACAGCATTCGAACCCAAGCAGGATGGCTCTGGAACTCGTGAACTTAGCCACTATACTGTATTGCCTACACTGTGTTGCCTTCACTGTACTTTAGCTGTTTTGAATAGCACTGTATATGAAAGGTGAGCCAGTAGATCCTGCCAGTTGTGAAAGGTAGTACATATAAAATGCAATGTACCAGTTCATAAAGTGGAAACGGAGTTCCTAAATCACAATAATTTAATTGAAATTTCACAGTTTAAAGGGACTTTGAGAATCATGTAGAATTATGCCCTACCTGAAAAAATTGTGGGCAAACCATACCAGAAAAATCATCTGCCTTCTCTTTCATTGTTCACTGCAGCAACCTAGGAGACACATTATTACAGCATTACTTTTTGATCCTTAAAAGTCTGGAAGTACATCCTAATGATTAAGTCCATATTGGAATTTAAAATTCTCATTCTTGAAGTGAGAGAATACTATCACACACACACACACACACACACACACACCCATATACTATTGCTGCATAACAAACCACCCCAGAATTAGTGGCTTAAAGGTATTTTATGTGCTTTCAATTCTGTAGATCTGTAAATTGGACCGGCCTTGACTGGGGTCATTCATGCAGCTGCTACAGTCAACTGGCAGCTTGACTGGATGCACTCACATGGCTAGCAGTGGATGTTGACTGTTGGCTGGACCTCTCTCCTTGTAGCCTTTCATCTTCAAGGACACTAGCCTGGGCTTCCTCACATGGTGGCAGCATGCCAAGCCAGTAGAGAGTGGAAGCTGCAGGACCTCTTGAGGCCCTAAGCTCAGAAATTATATGGCATCACTTCTACCACATTCCATTGGTCAAGTCAAAAGGCTAGCACAGATTCAGGAAGTGGGGAGATAGACTCCCCTTTCAATGGGAGGAGCAGCAAAGTCACATGGCAAAGGGATATGCATACAGGAACAGAAGTAATTAC